TTTTAATATTGATCATACTGATTTAAATCATTTTCCAAAATATTTAACCGAGTGTAGTTGAGTATTATATGTCCGTTTTTAAACATTCAAATTGCAACATATGCAAAAAATAAAATAAATTTTTTATTAAATATTTTTATTATATAGTATAATATCATAAATTAAAAATAATATCAAATAAATGTTAAAGAAGAATGATAATTGTTTTTAATATATTATATTAAATTAGTTAGAGAGATATTAGGAAATCATAAAATTAGTTATGGAAATAATATAATTTTAAAATTAGATATAGAAAGTATCCGATGTATGTATCCAAACCCATTTTAATATCCAATTTTGAAGTATCCAATTATTAAAATCGGGTTAATTTTTAATTTTGACCCGACCCGTATTTTATTTTGAAATATAGAGATTGTATATGTGTGATTCTCTTAAATAAATGATTAACATGTTATAAGCCCATGTTTAAAACTAAAGTGTAAAAATGAGCCCATATTGTTTTCCACATTCTCTTCACATTTGAGTATCAAACGTATATAATTGAGTATCATCATCTTATAAAAAGTGAAATGACTTAATTATTCACACACAACATGACAAATACTTCTCTCTTGGAAACAAGCAGTCGCGTACTTGGAGTTCGCCTGTTGAGTAGGATGAAACGGATCAAAGAAAATATGACTGTCAGGCACCTTACATGCGACCGAACCGGGCATGCAAGTTGTTGTTAAACCTCCATCATAAACTTCAGGACAACACGGGCTTGTCGCGTTCAATAAACTCGAACCAACTTGGTTGCTTGAGGGTTCTCTTAGTTTCAAAATGAAGTTGAAATAATCCGAGTATAAAAAGGATGTGTCCTTGAGTTTTTTCTTCATACCAGACAGGCTTTCTCTAAGCTTAGTGTTGAAAAGGCCGACCGCACGGTTTAGAGGCTCGTTGCAGCTTCCTCGTGGCTCGGACCTAACTATCACATTTGGGTAACATCCTAATGGTTTAACGTTGTTGATGAAGAACTTTCTTGCTCCTAAACTGTGCAATCTCTGCAGCATGATATCAAAAAATCTTTACTAAAATGTGTCTTGGTTAACATTTTAAAAGAAATCTAAAGCTAAAACTAAGGCTAAATCCATAAATCTTTATAAAATGTGTCTTGATTAACCAAATTATACTAACCATTTGGTTTATATATTTACTAAATATGTAATGTAGTGGCCAAAGAAAGAAAAAAAATCCCTTTTACCTCTATTTGTATCAAGTAGTCATGAAGAAGATTAGTTGCAAACTCATTAGGATTTGTTGTCTTATTAAAGAAGAATGCGTAATCGTTAACCCCAATCGCGGTCATAAACAACGATTCAGCCAAGTGTTTACTAAGATCTGATGGGTTCGTGAACATCTTCTTCAGATTCTTCTCGACAGTCTCGGTGAATAGATCGACTTGGACACTCAACGAGAGACATTTCCCCTATTCATACAAAGAAACAAATAAAACCTCATAAGGTGCATCTTCGAAACAGAAATCGCAAAATTCTTTTCGTATAATATTAAGACTTACCATTCGCTTTCCTGTGTCGGGAAAAATCCCACAGCTAGCAGAAGCATAGTTAAAACCGGTTGTGATATTGTTCTTTTGTTCTTCAGATAATCCCATATAAGCAGGAACCAAAGGAAGCCCGTAATAAATAGCTGAATCAAATAAAAACATAACAAGACAACGTTATATATAAACGAACAAATTATAATTCCTTATAACATAATGTTTCCTAATAAAGTTAGAAATATTATAACTATTTTTGGCTCTTACCAATATAATCAGCGATTGTTTTGCCATTGCTAAAACGTCCGGTGGCTTTGCCACCTTCAAAATCAGAACCATAAGGTGGAAAATTCGATTTGACCCTTGTCTCAAGATTGTTATTGTTTCCTGAATCAACCAATGAATCTCCAATAACATACAAAGCCGGGAAATTCCCACCGAAGAGCACCGGTTCTTGTTTCGTTGAGTTGATGGTGGAAATGTTAACAAGACAGAGGAGGATCAAGAGAAAGCATGAGTTTAGAGATGAAGGTAACCCCATTCTCTTGTTTCTCCGGTTTAGCTAGAGAAAAAAGGAGAAATGAAGAAGCTAGAGCCCTGAAAATTGAAAAAATTAAGATGATGGAAACGTCAAATTATAATCGATTTGGAAACCATCTTACAGCTTTCACACATACTAAGATACTAATAATACACCATGCAAAAAACAAAAACAAAAAAAAACTAACTATTGTTAACAAACCTATATATGTCTGATCTACAAATAAAATTTCCAACGTTTTTATGGATAAAGAAACTGTTTTATTTTTTTTAGTAATTATTACCCAATATTATTGCGTTGTGATTCTTTATTAGTAAATCATAAAATCAAAATATTAGTTGTACGAGAGATAAGTAATAAAAATAGTTAACTCTATTGCCCGACAATAAGAACAACTAGGATTCATATATTTGGTGAAACACATATTCGTTTGTTCAAAAATGGCATTTTTAATCTATAGTTTACTTCACCAAGACAAGAAATCTAGGTTATAGAAATATTCGTGAAATTAATTTATATCTTGAAAGTGGTAGATATATCTCCTTATCTTTAATTAAAGGCTTCTTTACATTTAATAGAGATAGAAAAATTTAGGATTCATATATACGATTACTTACATTATCTAAACATTCTATTTTGCGTGCTTAGCTATACATTCTATTTTTAAATGCTTCTTATCAATTTATGAGATATGGTTCATGGGGCTACACTATATAATAATGGTCTAACGGTCATTTAATATTCTTATCGCTATCTAATGGTGTAAATGCAAAAAGAAAAGTCAATATATAAGATATAATTTCATGGGGATACATTAAATGTGATCTACCTTTCAACAACTAGGCAAACGCATTGACTTGCCCTCTATATTCATTAAGCTAAATAATCCTAGCTAGAAAAAATCTTAGAATTGTAGTATTTGTACCAAAGGAATCAGTAATTTTTGCCTTATCGCCACGAACCTGATGGAAATAAGAGTCCAAGACAAAGCACTTGTATTTGAATTAGGAGCTGCGTGAGGAAATGAGAGCATTAGATTAGACGAACAAGAAAATAATGAATCATGAGAGTATTGGTAAAAGAAAGATGATGCAAGAACATTAAGAACAAAGAAATCTCGAAAACGAGAACGAGAAAGTATAAGGAAGTACCGATGGAACAACAAAGAAACAAGACGTACACAAGGGAAAAACCAAAACCTTTGAAGGAGATGCATAAAAAGAAAGATGAGAAGACAAGAACTATTTATAGCATTAAATGATTAAGAGTAATAAATGAGTTTGATAGGACAATGGTATAGAAAAAAACATAATTGAACAAATAATTCAAACAGCACTTGTTTTGGATATATATGAAAAAAGTGAAAAACCCTTTGACTAAAAAGCAATCAAAATGTTTACTTAATATATCAAACTTTTTTTTGGTTTTAATATGAAGAATTATATATATATCAAACTTGGTATTGATGCAACATTTATATTTTAGGGTAAGATAAAATCTATTAGACTAGTACTATGTACTTTAAGAAGAATCGTCCGACGTCGTTATGTTTTTGGTTGTGTCATATTAAGACTTGTCTAAGATTTGTGTGTTGTAGAGAGAAGTGTCGGTGTCGTCGTGAAATGTTCCATGAAACTATTCATTGTGGTTGCATGTAATAAATGTAGCTACATTATATATAGATCGACTGATCGTCATTTATTTGTACGTAATATATATTCGATGAATGTATCAATATATTCTTACAACATGTATATTTAGTTTACTATGTACGTACCGACTTATCTGAATTTGCTATTTTTCACACCTTCAGGATAAAACCTATCACAATATATAATACTTATTCCTAGGCATGTCAATTAGGGCTAAAGCCCGCGGGCTAGTTTGGCCCGGCCCTGAAAAACATCGGGCTCGGGCTTAAATATATATGTCCAGAAAAAATCGGGCATTTTGGGCTAAGCCCATTCGGGCTAAAGGGTTTTTTGGGCTTAGCCCGGTCGGGCTCGGGCCGGCCCGAAAAGCCCTTATACAAATATATTTTGAATTTTTTGAATATTTTAGTTTGATTAAAAGATTTGATTAATGTTATAGTTTTCATATTTAATTACTAGTCTTACTTATTACTTTTAAAATCTTTATACAAAGCTAAAACTAAATATATTTAAGTATCATGATTTTGAAATCATCAAAATATCTATTAAATTTTGACTCTATCTTATACATTAAAGTATTTTAGTTCCATGTTTTATTGGGTTAAAGTGTAAATAATTTATTTGACTTTTATTTTTTTATCTTAAATTAAGTTAGTTTTATTGAATATTGATAAGTTATTTAAACTTTGATGCATTATTTTTATCGTAGACCTTTAAATATAGTTTTTAAAAAACTATTATGAACTTAGAAATTGATTTTTTATCGGTAAATAAAGCCCAAAAAAGCCCGAAAAGCCCTTTAGCCCTGTTAGGGCCGGGCCGGGCTTTGAAATATAGGCTCGGAAATTTTTCGGGCCGGGCCGGGCCGGGCTCACATATACGAGGGCTTTACGGGTTTCGGGCCAGGCCGGGTCGGGCTAGCCCGATTGACATGCCTACTTATTCCCAATTTTGTACAAGAGAGTCATTGTTTAGGATAAACTCAAACACCTAAACTATAGGCTCCAAAACTTTATCACAACGGAGCTTTAAATCCTTATTTGATTGGTTTCAGCTTTGTTAAATTTTTTTGCTATGTAATGTGATATTAATCATATCAAACATAAAAAAACTGATTTATAATAATGTATATATCAATCCAATCAAAAGCTAGAAACAGCCTATCAGAGAACAAACAATTCTTGGTCCACGTCGTATACACGTCACGTTTCACACTGTACAATTTTGTTTCCAACGTGGCACTTCACTTGGACCACACGTCGCGTTGATCTAACTAGTTTCGTGTAAGTATAATACATGCTGTCCTAAAAAGCCTTCATCGCATGTATTTACATATTGAAATCATTATTTCAAATAAAATTGAGATTTGGAGATAACAACAAATCTTCCCTTTGTTAATAGGATATATAAAATGGCAAAAACTAGAGAAACGTTTTTATAAATAGGAAGCTGCAGAAGAGAAGAGAATTGAAGACACGAAGAAGGGCACTAGCTAGTACTTTGTGGAAAACCCTCGTACGTACGTAGACACAGAGACCAAACCGATCCATCACCAATGGAGGAGGATGAGAAGAGCAATGAAAAGGGCAAGATTGCTTCGTCTTTTTCAGAGAAACTAAGAAGAAGAAGTGAAGAGACAGTGTTTCAAAGTTTGAATATTGGAGATGATGCATCATGGAAGAGTGTTGAAGAAAGAGAAAGCGAGAGAAGAAGAAGAGAGGTGAATGAAATATTCATCAACAACGATGTATTAGAAGAAATTATGACGAGGCTGCCCGTGAAAACCCTAATTCGATTCCAAGCGGTCTCTAAAGACTTGAGACATATCATAACGTCGAGGTCTTTTAAAGAGGGATACTTGTTGCATCAGAAAACCTTGGAACCCAAATTTCTCTGTATCTACGAAGATAAAAGCTGGTACACGCCAAACTTTGCTCTAAAGACGATGAGTTTGGAATGGTCTTCGACTTGTCTAGTCGACGAAGAAGAAGGATATCATACTAAGTACGAAGAGTCGAACTTGCTAGTTTCAAGGAGTCTCGATGGTCTTTTCTTATTATTTAGTTCTACGGACTTTACACAACCGATTAATGTGATAAACGCAGCTACAAGATGGTCTTGGACACTCCCTCTAGCCAAGACTCAGATAGAACATTCTCTAGACAACAACAAGGTACAGTTCCCTCATCCGGAGTTTGGAAAAGACGCCCCAGGGCTTGGAAAAGACTACATCACAGGAACATACAAACTAGTCTGGTTACAAAACATTGATAACACATCATTATGCGAGGTTTTTGATTTCGGTCCTAAGCAATGGAGGTCAGTGATTCCACCTCATCCTCCTCATGTGATAGAGCATGAACAAATACCAATTTTTGTAAACGGATGGTTTTATTGGTTTAGCCAAGATAACACAAAATTGGTTGCTTTTGATCTTCACTTGGAGGTGTTTCGAATAGTTCCAAATCCTATTATTCATGCATCATCATCTGTTGGTTTGCATATGGAGAATGTCAATGATGACCATCGTCTTGTGTGGATGTCAGAGACAACTGGAGATGGCTTGCAACATGTTTGGAGGCTCACTAACTACAACAACACAGGAGGGACATTATCAATAGTGGACAAGATATTCACATTTGACTTGAACAAGATTAACTCCACTTGGTTTGATTCTCACTATTCTTCGCGCCTCAGAATAAATACAATTTCCAAGAACAGTGACAAAGTGATGCTTTCAAAATCCCGTTCTCAAAACCTTCTTCTATTTCAACATACAAATCCTACTTCTATTCGTTATGACATCTTTTCTTATTATCCTTTTCGTCCCAGTGACAGTCTCGTTCTTCCTTATTTCCCAAGTTTAGTCTCTCTCATCTAAATTATTTCTGATATAATTTTAAACAATTTTAATTTTTTTATATTTTTGATGTAATTTTTTAGAATTTTTTTTTTAATATATTTCTTATATTTCTGATATAATTTTTAAACATTTTTTTTAATATATCTTTTGCCTAAAGTTAATTTTTCTTCCAATTTCAGTTATTATAACTATAGGTGAGAGAGTCTCACTGGTTGTGTGGGTTTCTCTCCTTATATAAACTACCATTCAACAATTTTGTTTAACTGCGACTACATATTAATCAATCTTTTTTTTTTTTCAAGTGGCTGATGTTTCTACAGCTCATATTTTGTCTATATATCCGTGGTTAAAGTATATTGTTTGTTTTTTTTGTTTTTTTTGTAAACTTGATTAATACATACTTCTTCAAAAATCCATTTTCCGGATTTTGCTGGTATAAGTTTGTATAACAACAATTTTGAAAATGTTAGCTAGTATATAGTCTTTTAATTGTTGTTGTTAATAAATCTATAACAAATTCTGAAATTAAGGGAAAACAATATAAGAATGAGAAAATAATATAAGGATGAGATATGAAAGAATTCTAGATATATATTCCGCAAAGCTTGTGTAATGCTTAAACGCAACGTTGAACCAACGATCAGATTTTTTTCTTTTCTTTACACACGTCATGCGAAGATAATTATATCGATTGCATTGATGTATATATAGTATATATATAACCAGTTTGTATTTTATGATGATCTTTCAAAAACCACAAAAACTTTCATCAACTAATCAAAAATTTATGTAATTATCTATGAATAAATAGAGTAAAGAAAAACAGTTGATATGTTGAGATCAACTTCTCTTTAATGAGTATCACTGCAGGAAGTTGGATTGGATCTGCCAATTAACCTATTCAACTTAAACGGAAAACATGGGTTTCACATAAATAAAGGCCACCATATAATTGAAGACAAAGTGCCTGCAAGTTTCTATTATCGGAATGTTTTGAGATTATGAAAAGAATGAATGTTTCTGTTTATATCCCATGTATTTAATATATGAAATAAGTTGAGCCTAATTAAGATATATTATATAAGTAACATCATTTTCTTCTTTGTAGAAGAGACATTGATATTTGTCGCGCTTATTACAGACGTTTTTGTTTACTGGATTTTAAGAGAGAGAGAGATCATCCACCTTGCAAAATCAACAGACTGCATCTTCACACCTCTCCCTCTTTGGTTTCCAAATCGCAGTCGCGGCCGAGAAGCTTCAATAATATTTTTTTGTTAATAGGATATATAAAATGGCAAAAACTAGAGAAACGATTTTATAAATAGGAAGATGCAGAAGAGAAGAGAATTGAAGACACGAAGAAGGGCATTAGCTAGCTAGTACTTTGTGGAAAGCCCTCGTACGTACGTAGACACAGAGACCAAACCGATCCATCACCAATGGAGGAGGATGAGAAGAGCAATGAAAAGTGCAAGATTGCTTCGTCTTGTTCAGAGAAACTAAGAAGAAGAAGTGAAGAGACAGTGTTTCAAAGTTTGAATATTGGAGATGATGCATCATGGAAGAGGGTTGAAAGAGAAAGCAAGAGAAGAAGAAGAGAGGTGAATGAAATATTCATCGACAACGATGTATTAGAAGAACATGTTCAAACCTACATAAAAAGTTATGTAAAAAACAGTTAAAAATAAATCATTAAATTTTATATATACCCACGTTAATTCTCAACCTCTAAATTAATCATTCAAAACATTTGATAACATAAGTAACCAAACTTCATGTTTTCGTAAGTTTATGCATGTGTAAGCGCAACTACTCTTTTTAAATCAATCAAATTCTATATCACTACAATAAAAAAAAATCTATTATAAAGTAGCATAACCATCGTACCATAACCACTATTCATATTAAAATTTCAAAGTGCAAATATTATCTCGCATGTACCGCCGGTTCAATTCTAGTTTTTTATACAAAATATATTGTATAAATTATTTAGTATGCACACAAACTTGTTAGAAACGTTTGTTAGAAACATTTTGTCAACCTATGCTAGAAACGTTTGAAGTAAAATTTGGAAATAAATCCTCATTTACAAAAGAATTTACAATCTATGTCATTGCTTATATCCATATCCAAAAACAATTTACAATTAATTCTCACTACTATCCATATAACCAAACCCAATTAATAGATTTTAAACATTAATTATAAAACCTAAAATGTCCTATAATGTTCCGCAATAATAGATATTTAGAAAAAAAATTAAAGATTTAAAATTATCATTCTCCTCTCATATTTTAATGATTTTATTTTTAATTTTTTTGATTTAATATATTAAAAAATTATACATAATTTTGATTCAAACTTTTGATAATGGATATATGATATTTAATTAATATAAATAGTGTTTTTTAACATCACACATCAAATAAAATGTTTAAAGAATGATTTAAAGTCATATTTTAAATAAGATCGAATTAGGATGAAATTTTCACTTCATAAGCTTCCAAATTTAAAATTTTAGTATGATTTAATTCGGCCTTTAGACTGTTTAAGTTTGCCGAGTATAAAATATTTTAAACTTTTAAGTTTTTTAAGTTGCGGAAAAGGTCAAAACAACTTAGACTATTTATTGGCGGCTTTTTTATATTTAAACTATGATACCTGGTAAATATGAACTTAAAGTAACTAAAACTTCAAAATCTCATCTTCATCTATATGAAATTAGCCAAAAACAACATATGCTGAAACGGTGTTAGTTAATCCGTCGTTTAACGGCGATGAGGCAGTGGATATTATGCAATGACAGAGCATCGAAGTTGAGTAAAACGACGTTATTTTGTTAGTTTAAGTTGTGGAATTACCTTGGCCCAATGGTTGACTAAGGTATGTCTAACAATTATGCATATTAGTGGAGGCAAATTATAGGAGATTTTCAGTGATGCACAATTGGAGGCGTTCGGCGTGATTCTACGTATTGAAAGAAGACAGAAGTATTGTCAATCATCAATCTAATAGGATCGCAAAGTATTGTCCTTGGTTTAATCGTCTATGTAACAACTTTCATATTTTGAAATAGTTAATAAATACAAGACGACAAAAACAAATGTTGTTTAAGCTTACCTAATATTACAAATTTTATTTCTCTTAAGACGAATAAAATATTATGATTGATATATTTTAAATAATAATTTTAGAATTGTAGGCCCTTTGATGACAAAAAAAAAAGTTTAGAATTGTGAATATTTTTTAAAAAGGATTAAAATAATATAATCATGTATTATTGTAGAATGGTTTGCATGACGCGACAAGTTTGAATCGATATTATTAAAAACTAAAGTATCATTAGTTTGATATATCAATGCGGATTAAATCCTTATTCTACCATTTTTAAGAATATCAATATAAGATATATCAAATCAAAATGATATAATTAAAATTGATATTATACTTTTATATTAAAAAGTTTCTGAAAAATATAATAAAACTTTGGTACTTAAACATCCTAACCAATAATTAATTTGGATTCGTATATTGTGGTATTTGATATATTGACCTTATGACGACCATGTCAACAGTTTATATAATAAGATATAGTTTTATTAACTTATAATCGCATGTACGACATTACATAAATCAGTATTTATAAAACCATTTAACATATTATAAACTATATCCTAGTTTAAATTAATTATATAACAATATTTACATTTCCAGTAAAAAACAACGACGCCGTTACTGCCATCTGATTGTTTAGTCTGTTGGGTTCGTAAAACTACCGTTATACCCTTTGACCATCATTTTGACTACTCGTATCGACGACGTTTTGTCAAAATTGGGCCACTTCTTTTCCCGGCGATGATTGTACGGTGCTGCTTCTTGCCACCGCCGGTTTCTCCAACGTAGGAGCTAAATGCGTCGCCGGAGAAACTTCCAGTACTGGGATTCGTTTTTGAAAGAAGCTTATTCGCCTTCAGGAACTTAATGTTGATCCTCACAAGGTTCTCTCGGTGCTGCTCCAGTTTCCTCCGTCGAGACTATTTTCTTCGACCGATGGCTCTAATCTCCTCCGTCGAGACTCTCTTCTCTTCGACTGTGCCGATTCATCCGATCTACTCCGTCGAAACTATTCGACCGGAATCTGGATTAGGTTTCGGAGAATTTGGGATTCTCCATCGGAGAAAAAACAAAAGAGAGGTAAAATTACACTTTGAACCCTTTCTTATTTATTTTATTTTTAAATTACCCTTTATGTCTTATTTGATTTTTCTATAACCCTTAAAATTATTTTTTCTTGATTCTTACTCCCTTCTTAGTAATTACTATAAAATCTCGTGTTTCAATTAAACCAGAAACAATTAAAAAAGGAACGAACAAGTTGAAAAAAGAAAAAAGAAAGCACGGAATCCAAGAAAATGTGGCACAGGAAAGATGAGGAGAAGCTCCTTGAAGCAATAAATGGCGGTAACTCGCTCTATTTCGCTAGTTCGGTTAGTCTTGGTGGCAAGTTTGATGTTCCAATGTGCGAGAAAAAACTTATCGATATGGAGAACAAGGTGTGTCGCTGATTCTCTCTTCGTGCATCTTATTAGACTCTGTTTCTGTATCTTGACCTCTCTTTCTCTGTGCCTTTTCTCTCTTTTACCTTTATAGGTTTGGAACGTCGATGATGAACAAAAGGTCTGGAAACTTCAAAGTTTGTTCGATACGCACGCATCCCAAGTATCTGTTCAATTGAGGCGTCCCATTTCTTGCATCAGACGTCATCTTACAGAGATGAAACAGAGACGTTTCAAACCACTGAACAGTATAATAGAGGTACATAATCATATCTTTCTCAAGTATTCTGGGGTTTCTAGGAGCTAGTGTAGTGATACAAGAACATATTTACATATACAGGAATATAAAAGACCCATGTTAAACGATGAGGAAGAAAAGCGCAATATGGAGTTTAAGAAGTTCATGTCCAATGAAGATGACCTCTACAAAAAGTTTTATCAGGACGTGTTCACTGATTATGTAGATCCGATTGCTTACGAAGACTTCATAACCAAGGTAGCGTTTGCTTTTTACCTTTTTAGTTAGTTATACATGTGTATATCACCATGTATATATATCTTGATTCGAAGATCAATATTTGTATAGGGTGAGATAGAGTTCAGGACAATCTTATTCATCCCTGGGATGGATGATGGATACAAATCGAAACTTAAAAGCATCATTTTCTCTGTGAAACGAGTGCTTACCTTTGATTATGATCTGGTGAGTTTATAGCGTACTGTCTCTCTAAGATCTATTATAAGCTCTGGTTTTATTTTTGGTTTAACGTATTTCTTACAATTGGTTTGCAGCTCCCAACCTACTTAAGCTTTGTAAAGGCAGTTGTTGACTCTGATGGTCCTCTAAATGTCTCCGGTGAAACTCTCAAAGGGAGCAGAGTAGAAAGCATTGTGAGAAACAGACTCACTGGAAAAGTGTTTGACCTTCTAGATGAAATCTCTGAAAGGGAAGAGAAAAGGGTGGGCACTCGTTTACCTGTTTTATCTTTCTAAGGTCATTTGAAGTTTTGAGACAGTAAAGATTTGTGTGATTTCAGGATTACAAAAACTTGTGGGAGAAATATGGCAGCTCCCTTAAATCAGGGTGCATTGAGGATACTGATAACCGGAAGCGTATTACACGATCTGCTCAGGTTCTACTCTTCGAAGAGTAAAGAGGAACTGACAAGCTTAGATCAGTATGTTGAGAACATGGCAGAGAACCAAAAGGGGATTTACTTTGCAACCTGTAGAAGTTTGAAAAGCGCCACTTTCTCTCCCCAAGGTGTTGAGGTATTGTACCTGACTGAGTCAATTGATGAAGTTTTGGTAGAAAACCTTCAAAGTTATAGAAAAGTGGTGTTCGTTGATATTAGCAAATAGAGTTTGACAAAGTGGAAGCAGTAGCAAACTTTATTTATTCGTTATTTGCTACCTTTTGTCCTTCTTTTATTACCAAAAACTGAATAAGAATTTGACCTATTTCTCTGTTTTCTTATTTTGGAGGTTTTTATGTCTCTGTTCCCATTTATCTGAATATATAAATGTCCTCATAACCCTAAAGATTATATAACAAGTCAGAGATAGATTTACATATAACACAAATGTAGATAATCTTGTTTCGTTTTTATTTTTCTTGTTAGAAATTATGTAATTCTGTATATTAAACCGGTTTAAAACCGGATGAAAGAGAAACTAAACGACTGTAGTTTAGTTTGACAAAACCGATGTTACAACAACATTAAAACAAAATAAGAAGGCAAAAACTACTGAAACGAAACGTGTTCCAAAAGAAAAATAGTGTTTTACTAGAATTTGTAAGTAGGAGAAGCCAATATACAGTGTTTTATAAATTGAAGATATGAAGATAGCAACCAGATATTAAGAGAAATCAAAAGAATATATATAATAAGAAGAAACAAAGACACACATCATAGATGGTTGAAAGCGGTAAAAGTATTATCTTGTGGTTGTCCAACAAATTAAAGAAGAAACAAAAGAAGAAGATACGATTGAGATACCCAACGTATGAGAAGAAATTATGGTGAGGCTTCCCGTAAAACCCCTATATCAGATTCACTGGGGGAGTAGCCGAGTAGGAGTATGATAACGTCTAGATCTTACCTGGAGAGATATATGTTACATCAGAAAGCCAAGGAACCCAGATTCCACTCTGTTTATATGATGATAATGACTGCTATGAGGTAAACAATGCTCTAAAGACGATAAGGTTGGAGTGGTCTTCGACTTGTTTAGTGGAAGAGGAAGACCATACTAGCTAAGTGATAAACATGAAGAGAAGCTGGTGGCAGTTTACTACCTGGATGGTCTAGTCTGCTTCTATGTCATGGTCATACACAGACATGACAAGACCAATCAACATGATAAAAACCAAGCTACGAGATCGTCCCGGACGCTCCCCTTTTGCTAGTTTTCAGCTAGATCATTCTTTAGACAACGTACAACTAGGCATGTCAATCGGGCTAGCCCGGCCCGGCCCGAAACCCGTAAAGCCCTCATAAATGTGAGTCTGGTCCGGCCCGAAAAATATCCGAGCCTATATTTCAAAGTCCGGTCCGACCCTAACAGGGTTACAGGATTTTTCGGGCTTTTTTGGGCTTTACTTATCGATAAAAAAATAATTTCTAAGTTCATAATAGTTTTTCAAAAATAATATTTAAAGCTCTACTGTAAAAATAATGCATCAAATTTGAAATAACTTATCAATATTCAATAAAACTAACTTAATTTAAGAGAAAAAAATGAAAACCAAATAAAATATTTACACTTTAACCCAAAAAAACATGGAACTAAAATAGTTTAAAGTAGATAATAGAGTCAAAATTTTATATATATTTTGATGATTTCAAAATCAAGATACTTATATATATATATTGTTCAGTTTTGACATATATAAATAATAGAAAATATTATAGATAAAGATTTTAAAAGTATTAAGTAAGGCTAGTAAGTAAATATGAAAACTAATTCTTTAATCAAACTAAAATACTAAAAAATTCAACAAATATTTGTTTAAGGGTTTATCGGGCCGGCCCGAGGCCGACCGGGTTAAGCTCAAAAAACCCTTTAACCCGAATAGGTTTAGCCTAAAAGACCCGATTTTTTTTTATACATATGTATTTAAATCCGAACCCGATGTTTTTTAGTACCGGGCTAAACTAGCCCGCGGACTTTAACCCTAATTGATATGCCTAGGTACAACGAGGTAGAGTCTCTCATCTAGGAATTGGAAAAAGAGTACGTCACCTGAACAGACTAACTAGTTTTGTTCTATAACATTAACTACAATAAAACCTCATCAGTAGTTTACGAATTTTGTGTGGCTTTAGTCTTTAGAACCGACACAACCAATTACTATGTACCATTACCTTTTATTTTGGTTAGGGCTTTCATGCATACTCGGCCCAGTCGATTCACATTATGTATTATGTATATGTTTCGGACAATAACGTATCACAATATATAATACTTATTCCCAATTTTGTACAAGAGAGTCGGAGTTTAGGATAAACTCAAACACCTAAACTATAGGCTGGCTCCAAAACTTTATCACAACGTACGGAACTTTAAATCCTTATTTCATTGGTTTCAATTTGTTAAATTTTCTTGCTATGTAATGTGATATTTATCATATATGAAACATAAAAACTGATTTATAATTATAGATATATATATCCATCCAATCAAAAGCTAGAAATAGCCTATTCAGAGAACAAACAAACTAGATTTGATGCGGTTCTTGGTCCAACGTGGCACTTTTCTTGGTCTACGTCGTATACACGTCACGTTTCACATTGTACAATTTTGTTTCCAACGTGGCACTTCACTTGGACCACACGTCACACGTCACACGTCACACGTCACACGTCGCGTTGATCTAACTAGTTTTCGTGTAAGTATAACACCTGCTGTCCTAAAAAGCCTTCATCGCATGTATTTATATATCGAAATCATTATTTCAAATAAAATTGAGATTTGGAGATAACAACAAATCTTCCCTTTGTGAATAGGATACATAAAATGGCAAAAACTAAAGAAACGTTTTTATAAATAGGAAGCTGCAGAAGAGAAGAGAATTGAAAACACGAAGAAGGGCACTAGCTAGTACTTTGTGGAAAACCCTCGTACGTACGTAGAGACAGAGACCAAACCGATCCGTCACCAATGGAGGAGGAGAAGAGCAATGAAAAGTGCAAGATTGCTTCGTTTTCTTCAGAGAAACTAAGAAGAAAAAGTGAAGAGACAGTGTTTCAAAGTTTGAATAAGAAGAATACTGGAGATGATGCATCATGGAAGAGTGTTGAAAGAGAAAGCAAGAGAAGAAGAAGAGAGGTGAATGAAATATTCATCAACAACGATGTATTAGAAGAAATTATGACGAGGCTTCCCGTGAAAACCCTAATTCGATTCCAAGCGGTCTCTAAAGACTGGAGACATATCATAACGTCGAGTTCTTTTAAAGAGAGATACTTGTTGCATCAGAAAACCTTGGAACCCAAATTTCTCTGTATCTATGAAGATAAAAGCTGGTACATGCCAAACTTTGCTCTAAAGACGATGAGTTTGGAATGGTCTTCGACTTGTCTAGTCGACGAAGAAGAAGAATATCATATTAGTAATGAGCACGAAGAGTTGATCTTGTTAGTTTCAAGGAGTCTGGATGGTCTTTTCTGTTTATGTAGCGGTGCGGACTTGACACGACCAATTAATGTGATCAACCCAGCTACAAGATGTTCTTGGACACTCCCTCTTTCCAAGACTCAGCTTAACAATTCTTTAGACAACAACAAGGTACAGTTCCCCCGGCCAGGACTTGGAAAAGACCTCCCAGGGCTTGGAAAAGATTACGTCACAGGGACATACAAACTAGTTTGGTTACAAAACATTGACAACACTTCATCATGCGAGGTCTTCGATTTCGGTGCTAAACAATGGAGGCCGGTGATTCCACCTCATCAGATAGAGTATGATCAAGCACCAACTTTTGTAAACGGATGGCTTTATTGGTTCAGCCAAGATAACACCAAGTTCGTTGCCTTTGATCTTCACATGGAGGTCTTTCATATAGTTCCCAATCCCGTTATTCATGAGTCTTCTTCAAAATTTGTTGATTTGCATATGGAGAGTGCTGATGATGACCGTCGTCTTGTGTGGATGTCAAAGACAAATGGAGATGGCTTGCAACACATTTGGAGGCTCACTAACCACAACAACACAGGAGGGATATTATCAATAGTGGACAAGATGTTCACCTTTGATTTGAACAAGATTAACCCCACTTGGTTTGATTCTCATTTTTCTTCGCCCCTCAAAGTAATGGCAATTTCCAAGAACACTGACAAGGTGATGCTCTCAAGATCCTATTCTCAAAACCTTCTTCTATTTCAACCCCTTAACCCTATTTCTATTCGCTATCGCATCTTTTCTTATTCTCCTTCTCGTCCCAGTGACAGTTTTGTTCTTCCTTACTTTCCAAGTTTAATCTCTCCTTTGTAAATTAATTTATAATACAATTTTTAGGCAATTTTTTTTTAAATATCTTTCTTATAATTTTGATGTAATTTTTAGACAATTGTTATTTAAAAATATATATTTCAGTCAAACTCATTCTCAATTTAGAATTTGCATAACTCCACTAACTCATCGTTTATTAGAGAAGATGATTCTTGTCTTGGTAAAAAATGTGTTCATCTGCTACTTTTTGAGTGAGAGATCTACACCGATAAGGCAAGAAAACAGTTTTCTATTGTGTTCTTGATTTTGCTATATAATTTTGCCAAAATAGATCAATTTCTAGTTCGATTTGTCTCATTAGTTCAGTACTTAACTAAGTATCACTGTGTTCATAGTCTTAGATATGCAGTTGATTTTGCATTGCCTCAAATTGAAAAAAAATAAAAAAAAAAGAATTTAGTGTGATCACTATGATATATTACCAAAAATTCCACAACAATTACATGAATACAAATGATGTAACATGTTATTTATTCAAGGAGTTTCGTAACAATTTCACAAATACATGTTAGCATTTACCGCCTGAATCTTAAAAATGTGACGATAAAAGATTGAGAAAAGGTAGGGCTTACGAGATGGTAGAAACAGAAAACTGAAAGAGACAAAAACAATAAAATATTTTTCATTTTTTTAGAAAAATATCACAGTAAAGCGACGAGGGCTATGCAGAGCGACGATGACCATCAAAAGAATTGAGAAAACATGGGTTCTTTACTCAAATTTCTTATGATGATCTTTTAATAAAACCACAAAAGCTCTCATCCATTAATCATATAAGTAAAACATAAGTAAAAAATAAGCAGAACATAATAATTAATAAGTATGAATACTACTGCAGATATATGAATAATAAGCAAATATATGAATACGACTTTAGCCAATAATTTTTTAAACAATTGTATGTAACACTACTACTAGTTTAGCTAGGTAGGTTCAATAAACTACTACTATTTGGAAAAAAAATTAGCATTTGCCAATTAAACCTATCCCAACA